GCTGTCAGATGTCAAAAAGAATGAGGCTGGTCCATGTGTATTTTATATAGTATAAAAAGAAATTTGTGACATATTACTAACAGAAAGAAAAGTTATAGGAAAATCATAACACATACAGGGTGGGACAAAAGTGGGTTTACAGTTATGAGTATGTGAAACACAGTTTATTCTTATATTATTATTTATTAATTATTGTATTATTTTCCACATGAACAATTTTAAAACTATTTTTGCCCCACCCTGTGTATATAAACATATATTTCTACCAATGCATAGGGAAAGTTCTGGACAGAGATGCACACTAGGGTAGGGGTGTTGGGAGTGGTGCTATGAAAAGAGGACATTTACTATTACTCTGAATACCTGTGAATTATTCAGTACTTTTACATAGAGTTTGCATTACTTTCATAATGAGAACAGTTAAAAGAAAATAAAATATATACTAGGTGAACAAGAATTGATGCTCATCATTCATTTTCAATGCTTCATTACAACTACTACTATTACTACTACTACTAGAGATAGTAACTCGGAACTTCCTTTAGTCAAAATTCTCCACTGTATTCTACAGAATTCCACTTTTTCTTGAAAATGACCCAATTTACATGATCTAATAGGACTCCATCCTAATCCTCTTTCACATAAATATCTTGAAAACCAGGTATAAGAAGTGAGCTACTGAACTTTATTGAAAATAATTCGTATTTTACAATTTTTGAATTCAAATGCACAGGATTCACTTTATTCTCCGCAGGAGCTATGGTCATATAAGAGTGAATGAAATGTCTAAAAGATGGCAATGGGCTCTGAAAAGTGCAAAGTAGAGGTTCAGAATATAAGAACATCCCTGAAGCCATTTTTTTTTCACAGAATAGAGTGAAGTAGAAATTTGGAAATATCAAGGGTGAAGTGGAGGTGAGCAAACAGCTTTGTGCTGTGTGAACCAGTTTAAAGGAAGTTAATATTGGGAGGTGAGATTTACACCTTCACTTTTTTTTTTCTCTGACGCTGAGTTAACTCTTCACTTTCCAATAAAGACCCCTGCTTCTTTGAACTTCTTGCCTTCTTGCTATGCCACAGTCCCTGCCTGGCTCTTCCCGTCCCTTACTCTGACTTTGCTCACTATCTCACACTCAGTGAAGACTTTGCTTTCTATCTTTACAGAATTTGCTGTCATCTAGAGATTCAGGGTTTGTGTGGATAACACACCCAACTTCAGCTCAGGGGTTCGCAATTTAGCTTGCCTATTAGAAACATCTGTAAAAGTTTGTTTGTTTTTTTTAAATGCATATACCCTCCCTAGCTGGTGTGGCTCAGTGAATTGAATGCCAGCCTGTGAACCACAGAGTTGTCAGTTTGATTCACAGTCAGGGCACATGCCTGGGTTGTGGGTGAGGTTCCCAGTAGAGGGTGCACAAGAGGCAAACACAAATTGATGTTTCTCTCCCTCTCTTTCTCCCTTCCTTCCCCTCTCTAAAAATAAATAAATAAAATCTTTAATAAATAATAAAGTACATATACCTGAATTGTACCTACTAGGACCCTATAGTTCTGATGATTCTGATACACAATCAAAATTCTAAATCATTTGTAGCCTTGTCTTTGTCTGCTACTACCCCTACCTCTGCAGTCAACTTCCATGGCTACACTGTAGACATTTTTATTATACTACAATTCTGCACACAGTACCAATATGTGTTTTCCCCCCCATACCAAACGTTCCCTTGAAATCAGCTTGGTATGCTATAATTAAATCAATTCTGACACTACCTATCTGGAGATAGCATCGTATTCCATAGGTTATGTGTTCAGTCCCACAGAACTGCCCTCACTTCAGATGCCAGTCACAAGATCTGGCTATCACTTGTGCTTCTGACAGTCTGGCTATAGATCAGAGGTTCCCATCATCCCTTCCTTGGGTTCAATTAATTTGCTACAACCACTCACAGAACTCAGGAAATCAATTTACTCACCAGATTTTGGTTTGGTATGAAGCATATTAAAGGATAGGAATCAAAAACCAAATGAAAAGATACATAGGAAAAGATCCTGAACCCAGGAGCATCTGTCCCTGTGGAGTCAGGCTCTACACAGCTCATGGATGTTTGTGTTCTGGCTCACCAATCTGGAAGCTGTCCAAACTCCATCTTTTCAGGGTTTTATGGAGACTTTATTTCAGAGGCATGATTGATTAAATCATTAGCCATTGGTGATTAGTTCAACCTGCAGGCATCTTTCCTCCCTGGAAATCAGCTGTGGGACTGAACGTTCCAACTCTCTAATCATACCTGGTTCCTCTGGCAACCAGCTCCCACTCCCATTTTTAGGGGATTTACAAAAGTCACCTCATTAACATAAACTCAGTTGTTGTGGAAAGGGCCTTGTTATAAATAACAAGCTCTGAACTGAGGACAAAAGACTGAATATAACAAAAGATGCCCTCATTGCTCTTACTGCTTAGGAAATGGTAAAAGTTTTGGGAGCTGTAAGCCAGGAAACTTGGACTGAAGACCAAAATATATATTTACTATAAATCACAATATAACATATACTTTGAACCACATTATCTACGAAATGTTAAACTCCAAGAATTCACTCTCATTATAACCTCCAAAGTTTCCACTTCACTCCTTCCCCAATCCCATTCTAGCTGCTCTTTCCTGTAATGAGACATTTTACAGCCTTGTCAACTCTCATTTCCTCCAGTCTATCTGCCCCTTACTGACCTCCTAAAACTCATGTAACCTGTCACTTCTGTTGTTCCTGTCCACTAAAATTCCAGCCCTCAGGCATTCAAAATTATCTTTTTTTTTAGCATTAAAAAATTTTTTTTATTGATTATGCTGTTACAGTTGTTCTATTCCCCCCTTCATTCCCCTCCACCCTACCCCCCCCATCCCCACCATTACCCCCCTTTAGTTTATGACCATGTGTCTCAAGTCCTTTAGATTCTATATTTCCCATGCTATTCTTGCCCCCCCATCTATTTTCTATCTACTGTCTATGCTACTTATTTTCTGTACCTTCTCCCCCCTTCTCCTCCTCCCACTCCCCTGTTGCTAACCCTCCTTGAGATCTTCATTTCTATGTTTCCACTCCTGATCTAGCTGTCCTTTTAGTTTGCTTTTGTTTTAGGTGTGGTTGTTAATAACTGTGAGTTTGTTGTCCTTTCACTGTTCATGTTTCTTTAACTTCTTTTTTCTTAGATAAGTCCCTTTAACATTTCATATAATAAGGGCTTGGTGATGATGAACTCCTTGAATTTGATCTTATCTGAGAAGCACCTTAACTATCCTTCCATTCTAAATGAAAGTTTTGCTGGATAGAGCAATCTTGGTTGTAGGTCTTTGGATTTCATGACTTGGAATACCTCTTTCCAGCCCCTTCTTGCCTGTAAGGTCTCTTTTGAGAAATCTGCTGACAGTCTGATGGGGACTCCTTTGTAGGTGACTGTCCCCTTAGCTCTTGCTGCTTCTAGGATTCTCTCCTTCATTTTAATCTTGGCTAATGTAATGTTGATGTGCCTTGGTGTATTCCTTCTTGGGTCCAACTTCTTTGGGACTCTCTGAGCTTCCTGGTTATCACGGAAGTCTATTTCCTTTGCCAGACTGGGGAAATTCTCCTTTATTATTTGTTCAAATAAGTTTTCCACTGGTGGCTGTTCCTTTCCCCCTTCTGGTACCCCTATAATTCGGATGTTGGAGCGTTTAAAGATGTCCTGGAGGTTCCTAAGACTCTCCTCATTTCTTTGAATTCTTGCTTCTTGACTCTTTTCTGTTTGGCCATTATTTGCTTTCTTCTGGTCCACTCCATTGATTTGAGTCCCAGTTTCCTTTTCATTGCTATTGGTGTCCTGTGCAATTCCATTCATTTCAATTAGTTTCGCCTTCATATATTTGTCTAATTTGTGGCTATAATCAACCAGTTCTGTGAGGATCCTGATGACCAGTGTTTTAAACTGTGCGTCTGAGAGTTTTGCTATTTCTTCATTGCTTAGATCTATAGGTTCTGGGGCTTTGAGATCTTGCGACATTTTTGGTCTGTTCTGGCCCTTTAAGTGTGAGAAGCGGTGCCTTGGACTCCCAGGTCGCTGGGTTGTGACGCTTTATGTGGGGGTGTGGTCAGAGCGGGGAAATGGCGGCGCCCTCCACTGCCGCTTGCCGCGGGGACCCGCTGGGCCCCGGTGTAACCGCCCACTCCCTCGCCAGTCTGCCCGCACACAAATGCGCGACCACAGTCAACATGCAGCACCGCTCCCCCGCTGTCTCCCCTGCGGTTGCTCGCTTGGTTGCTCGCTCGCTTGGTCACTCACTAGGTCCAACTCTGCGCCTGGATTCCGTGGGTCTGGATTCCACGCCTGAGTCCAGCTGACCGAGATCTCCTGTGCAATCCCGCTTCACCAGCAGCTGGTTTCGCCCCTTACCGGTCAGGCTGAAGAATTTGTTGTTAATGGACTTCCGAAAAGTTCAATTTTCCGTGTTCTGGCTATGTTTTCTGTTGCTAATATTTAGTTGTCTCTAAACTTGGTTGTGTGAGAAGGCACGGCACATCCACCTATGCCTCCATCTTGGCGGAAGTCCCTCCAAAATTATCTTTATTTCTTGCCTTTTCCCAATGGAATTCATTCTCCACACTGCAACCTGGGTAACCTTTTCAAATGCAAATTGGTCACGTGACCAAGACCCCCTCTCTTGCTTGTTTTGCTTAAGACTTTGTTTTGTTTTGCTTTGTTTTTACCTTGAAAAAAATTTATATTTAGAATTATCCTTCTGGACTCAGTTTAAATAATCCCAATTTTGTTAGCAACATCCAAGGAGTCATAGGCATCATAGTTGGGAGCCAGCTGAATGTGTGTCTTATTCTCTCCATCAGGCCTCATCAGGGTGTTGACTTTGGCCACATCAATGTCACGAAGCTTCTTCACAGCCTGTTTGATCTGGTGATTGTTGGTCTTGGCATCCACAATGAACACAAGTGTGTTAGTTTCTTCTATCTTCTTCATGGCTGACTCAGTTGTGGGGGGAACTTGATGATGGCATAGCGGTCAAGCTTGTTTCTTCTGAGGACACTCTTCTGAGGCTATTTAGTCTGCTTTTGGTGTTGTAGTATTTTCAGGGGTCAGAAAGTGGGGGTCATAAAGGTCTTCTTTGTGGCTGAGGATGCCTTTCTGTTGTGGACTGCTCTGCCTGGTTTCAGGAATTGTAACTCTATCCCCTGTGGCTAAGGAGGAATCAGTGACCTCTGGAATTTGAGCTGCAGGAGACAAAGCTCGTCTCTGGTAGCAAATGCTGCCTCAGTTTCCTTCCTGTCCCCAAAACATGGTCAGAAATAGTTGATGAGTAAGACCCCTCACAGGAGGGGCAACCTAGGCCAGACACAACCACTTGGGAGGCCATCATGGAAGGACTCAGGGGGCTGCAACAAAGAGGGAGCAATGGACTCTCGTCCCCAGGCTTTGACAAAGCCCAAGTCCCCCTGTCCTCTGAGAGAAGCACTTCCTGGCTCTAATCCCCTTAAACCTGAATACATGATGGGGAGAGATGCAGCTCCTTGCCTTGCTAGAGTGTACCCTGGGGAAAAATCTGGCATCACAAAGACCTCCTGATAAACCTGAGAAATCTGCTCCACTAAGAGTGCTTTCATTCATATGTTAAGGATTCAAGCAAGAAACCCTAAAACTCTTCCTGACAGACTCTGACTTGGACTAAGCCCTCAGATTTCTTTGAAATGTTATCTACTATTTGATCCTTGCTGCCCTGTATGCCTGTGTATTACAACCAAATAAAAGCCCTTTGGAGGAAGGGGCTCAATGCCTTTTTCCCTTGAGGAACTGGCCACTGCTCAAGGCCTTTTTTCTCTGGGAAACTGGCCACCTCTCCTCTCCAAGCAGATCATGTCTCAGTCATGTTTACTCTCATCTGTGGCACACGGGGGGACTTGCAAGGAAAGTTGCCTCCACACCTTTCAGCACATTTTCTTTGCCTTTAAAGCCTTTGCTTTGGCTTCAGCTCTGGGAGAGGCAGAGAATTCCTTCTTCACTTCATCATCCACTTTGTGAAAAGGCACCTTGCATAAGTCTTTAAACAGCATTTCATGGTTGTTAGGATATAGTCCAAACTCCATAATGTGCCATACATGTGCCAAGACCAGCTATAGGCTCTCTGCTTCTCCTGCTTGAAAGACAGCTCTTTCCCCCTGTCCCGTGCCATCCTCAACCCTGAGACATGATAGCGAAGGTAGGTGAACATATTTGGTCATTTTGGGTGCCTGGTCACCAGGACTGCTTTTTATTCTGTCAAAGTGGATATTGTCACCATAAGTGATCTCTTCATTGACCTCAACTACATGATCTACATGGTCTACATTCTCTAGTATGATTCTACTCATGGCAAGTTCAAAGGCACAATCATGGCTGAGAATGGAAAGCTTGTCATCAATGGAAAGTCCTCCATTTTCCAGGAGCGAGTTCCTGCCAACATCAAACAGGGTGATTCTAGTTCTGAATATATTGTGGAGCCCACTGGTGTCTTTACCACCATGCAGAAGGCTGGGGCTCACCTGAAGGGTGGAGCCAAGAGGGTCATCATCCCTGCCCCTTCTGCAGATGCCCCCATGTTTGTGATGGATGTGAACCATGACAAATTTGGCAACTCCCCAAAGGTTGTCAGCAATGCCTCCTGTGCCACTATATGGGAAGCTTTGAAGAACCTTTGTTTACTCAAACCCCAAGCACCCTGGGAAGAGCGATAGGGCCATTTGGGAAAGCAAATGGCAGGATATTCACAAGGGCTAGGACTAGCACCCCCGTGGTTAGAACTAATTTCCTCATTTAGCTTTTGTACTCTGCTTCTGGCACATAGCTAGAACTAACTTCCGCATTCCGCTTCTGTATCTCACTTTGCTACATAGACAGGAAGACCCCGTAGACTATATAAACCCCGAGAATCCTTTGCTCAGGGCTCAGAATTTGGAGACTGACTCCTCTGGGTCTGTACATGTTAATAAACCTCTTACTCCAGAATAACACTCCGGTGTCCGGTTGCTTCGTTTTCTTGTAACACCACCAACTGCTTGGTTCTCTGGCCAATGTCATCCATGACAAATTTGGCATCATGGAGGGATTCATGACCACAGTCCATGCAATCATTGCCACCCAGAAAACTCTGGATGGTCCCCCTGGAAAACTGTGGTGTGATGGCAAAGGGGCTTCCCAGAACATCTTCCCTGCTTCCACTGGTGCTGCCAAGGCTATGGGAAAGGTCATCCGAGCTGAACAGAAGCTCTCTGATATGGCCTTCTATGTCCCCTCCCCCATTGTGTCAGTTGTGGATCTGACCTGTTGCCTAGAGAAAGCTACCAAATATGATGACATCAGGAAGGTAGTGAGGCAGGCCTCAGAGGACCCCCTCAAGGGCATCCTGGGCTACACTGAGGACCAGGTTGTCCCCTGCAACTTTAATGGGGACACTCCGCCTTCGATGTTGGGGCTGGCATTGCTCTCAATGACCAATTTGTCAAGCTCATTTCCTGGTATAACAATGAGTTTGGTTATAGCAACAGGATGGTAGACCTTATGGTCTACATGGCCTCCAAGGAGTAAGAGCACACTGAACCACAAGCCCTAGCAACAGAAAGAGAGGTCTTCAGCTGCTGGCAGAGTTCTTGCCCCACATAGATCCTCTAACATACTGAGAATCTCCTGACCTTCAGTTTTCATCCTAGACCCTCTGAAGAAGAGAAGGGCTTAGGGAGCCCTACCTTGTCATGCACCATCAATAAAGTTTACTTTAAAAAATAAAAGACTATCTGTAACTCATGACCTGAGTACATTTCTGTTCTCATCTCCTACTTCTTCTCTTTACCTGCACTCATCATGCTTTATCATGTGTCGTCCCTATCTGGAGAGCCCCCCAGTCCCCCTTTGTAAGCCTAACTTCTCTTCATCTTTCAGAGCCTCATCTCAGGAGGTAACTCCTCACTGATTGAGTCTCAAAAAAGACATAATTTTTGAAACTCAATTCTCTTATTTGGGAGGGAAGTTCTTTAAATTTTAAATTTCCTTTTTAAAAAAATGCAGTAAGAACACTTAACATAATATCTACCCTGTTAACAAAGTTTTAAGTGTACAACACAATGTTATTTGTGTTGTACAACAGACCCCTAGAAATTATTCATCTCATATAACTGAAACTTTATACCCTTTGAACAACAGCTCCTCCAACTCCTGCCAGCCATTCTGCTCCGTTTCTGTGAGTTTGGCTATTTTAAATACCTGATATGAGTACAGTTATGCAGTATTTTTACTTCTGGGTCTGGCTGATTTCACTTATCATACGATCTTCCATGTTCATCCATGTTGTCATATATGGCAGGATTTTCTTCTTTTTAAAGGTTGAATAGTATTCCACTATATATATCATTTTTTTTCTGGTGTATATATCATATTTTCTTTCAATTCTCTGTGGACTTTATATAATGTATTTGGTACCTAGACCCAGGATGATATTAAAAGAGTGAGAAATCAGAATAGATGCCTTACCAATGTATACTGACTGTATATCATTACATTATTAGACCATAAAATACCTTAATATTAAAAGAGTTTTTCTCCTTTCCTGTTTCCTCTTCCCCTATTTGGTTTTACTCATCAGCAAAACCATAGGTGAGTGAGCTGAGGCAGAATCAGCAAATAAAACCCCCACTGTGTAATAATAAATATGGGGTGGGGCAAAAGAAGGTTTACAGCTGTTCATATGGAAAAATAATACAATAATTAATAAATAATAACACAAGAATAAACTCTGATTTCACAACGATAAGCCTACTTTTGCCCCACCCTGGAGTAAATGGAAATGTGAGGGCTAAACTTTTTCCATCCTCACACATCACTGCTAACAGGTTCCATCAGGACCACATCCACTTTACTGTCTGCACCATCTATCCTGGTGGTCAGTGCTCTACCTACAATAGTAGGCCCTGATTTAATAATCATTTTTTTCTAGAAAGATGACTTACAGGAAGAATTTTCTATGGTTGTATAAATCAAAACACAAGATCAATGTGTTATACAGTGAAGAAAATGAGATTTATTGTATTGAAATATAAATCTAAACTTTGGGAAGTGTTTCCCTTTCTCTCCCTTTTGTTATAATTAGTTTCTATATATGTTCATCATACTTGAGGATGGAATTTTTAAAGGGTTTATGCCACATTTATCTCTGTATTTCTGGTGTTTGAGGTTGTACTAGCCACATAAGAGTAACTTAATAAATGCTCATAGAATTAATAAATGAATTAAAGATTGACAGGCCATTTTTTAGTGGACATGAGCAATTATTTGGTGGAAGAAACCAGAAGATAAGGGAGGTGTTATACTATAACAGGGTCCAGAACTTGGGGTGTTCCTGAATATAGGACAATAGGCCTGGCTGGGGGAAGGATCACATGGAGCAAGGCCACTGAGAGTTGTTTCGCAGGCCAGCTTCATACCTGATATGCAAAAACAGTTATTTTGCATATCAATAACAGTAGAGTAGTCCTTCAGCCAGAATGGAACCAGAAGGTATGTATAACTTTGACCCATGTTATAACTGGGAGGCAGTTCCCCCTTGTTTACAGCACCTGCATGAGAGGTTAAAGGTGGTTCACTCCACACCACAGGCCATGCCTGCCTAGACATACTATGGCAGCCCAGTAAGGCTGAAAACTGGGGGACTGCTGGCAGGTGTACCTGATCATGGAAGGAGTTGGAAATGGGGTTATGGAGGAGGTTCCAGGCTGGGATATAAACAAAAGGTGGGCTGCCACAAGAGACAGAGACAATGAGGGACACTTACGAGACTTTGTGTGGAAGGAAAGGGGTGAAAAGATTCTTCCTATTGGGCCATGAGAAGGTGTCACATGGTTTTGGATTAAGAACTAGAGATCATGGCAGTGATACAGCTGATGGTGCTGAGGACTGCAGGAGACCTGCCAGTTGAGCACGGATTACTGGGAGAAACTGGAAGCCTAACCAAGCTAGTGACTTCTATTTCTCTTTCTTGAGATATGGTACCCCTAACTGGCCTGACTGAGCAAGGTGGGGAAGGAAGGACTGTGTGTATTTGTGGGTGTTTTAAGGAACTTTGGGATTTCATTTTTTAAACTTTTTAAAAAAGATTTTATTTATTAATTTTAGAGAGAGGGACAGAAACATCAGTGTGTGGTTGCCTCTCCCATGCCCCCACCTGGGGATCTGGCCTACACCTCAGGCATGTGCCCTGACTGGGGATTGAACCAGTGACCCTTTGGTTCACAGGCCGGCACTCAATCCACTGAGCCACACCATCCAGGGTGGGCTTAGGGATTTTAATGGTGACATTCTGCCATTATTTTAAACCTGTATAAGTTTTGAATAAATAGTTCCTTTCTTTTTTACCAAACTCTGGAATGGAGAGCCACAATTCCTAAGGGCAGTGGGCAAAGAACCATAGTACAAAAAGACCTTGGGGAGGGGGCTTGTTTCAGTAACGGTATCTTGGCTCCCCACGGGCCAATACTGTAACAATACTCCTATTAAGAAAACTATAGCAGTTGGAAGGAACAATTTAAAGGTGAGCTAAAATTCTTTAGTATTGTTATCTCAAGTGTCACAATAAATTCATTATTTTGTACTATGAAAACTCACTTGTGTGATACCTAGCATATAATCCTAAACCATTTGCATGCTGTTCAAAATGTTGTTCTGCATATAGATTGGTTTGTGTGTTCATATGTGTTGGGAACTGCTCTGCCTGGTTTCAGGAGTTGTAACTGCCCCCTATAGCTAAGGCTGAGTGAGTGACCTCCAGAATGTGAACCACTAAGGAGACAAAGTTTTTCCCCTGCCCCCAATGCTTGGTTGGTTAGTCAGAGACGGGTACAACAACCCATTCTGACATGGCTTTAGTCTTCATTTCCTTCTGGGAGAAGCGCTTCCTGGCTCTAATCCACTTCAGCCTAAAAACCTATGATGGGGAAGGCAGTGTAGCCATGCTCTGGAAAGGGTGGATTCCCCTGGTCATCAGGCCTAAGAAAGAATTTGTAAAAACCTGCTTTGTTTAAAATGCTCTCATTTAAATGATAAGGGTCCAAGCAAGAAGTTTGTTCCTCAAAGTTTTATGGCTCTTTAGCTATCTAACCCTGATTGAGAATAAGCCCTCATAGTTCTTTGAATGCTATCTATTGTTTGTTCCTTACCTGTATTCTTGTGCAAATGAACCCAATAAAATCCCCTTGAGGAAGGGGCTCTTGGCCCTTCTCCTTTGAGAGATCGGCCACCTTTCCACCCCAAGCAGATTATGTTTTGGTAGTTTCACTTTTATTCGTGGTGGACGGGGGGACTTTGAGGGCTAAGTTGTCCCCACACATATGTTTAAAAATTCTATTTAGAGGAACAGCTGAATTAGTCAATGAGATTGAAACTTGTTTTCTACATTCAGTTTCAGTAAAAGGAGGAGCAGCCCATATTCATTTATATCTCTAGGGAGAGAAGCTAGGGGATATTTGATGAATGTCTTGCAAAGAAGAAACTGAATATTAATATTTTCCCTGTTTATTATTGTTTTTCCTTTGCTTGCTGTCTATATTTCAAATGATGTGGCTATTTCTTGCTGATTGTCAGGCTCCACTTCATTAAGATTACTGCAGTGGTGCCTCTGCTGAGGGTTTCACTAGTATCTTTCACTAGCAGGCACATAGCAAGGTGAATATACTTCTAAATCACATTTATGCTTACTTCCAAATTATAACAGCTGGATTATCTGACTGTACTGTCTCTCTTAAATAAATAAATAACCCCCAAATCTTTTCAGGAGGAAAGCCCAAATCAGTGCTTCTAACAAATTTCCAAAGTTAAAATAAAGGACTTTTCCCCTTCATATTTTGTTTTAAGCAAGATAAAAATCCTGAATTGAAAATATTGGAAAATATTAGATATACTCAGCTATGAAGTAAAAACAGTTTTATAGTTCCCCATAGCTATCTTTTTCACTTGCAGTGGAGGTCTCTCTTCATTGATCGGCTTCCTTTTATTGTGTGGTGTTCTGGGAGAAGTAAAGCAATCTCAAGCCCCACAAGGGTCAAAGAAACTCTGAACCTATGGATTAAACTTGCAAAAATGCTGCATTGTTGAAGACTGTTTGTCTTTCTTAGCTTCTGGTAAATCTTAATTTGCAAATTAAAACAGAACCTGTAAGTACTTTCTGATATCAGCTTGAATTCATAATAGGACACAATCTCCAGCTTCCTTTATTTGACATTCTAACTCATTGTTATACTACTCAAAGCTGCCAGAACTTGTTTTTCAATGTACCACAGGAAACTCCTTTGTAAATGTCAACCAAACCCTTAATCCTCTTTAAATTAGTTAAATAAGTCAATGTGAGAAGTGGAGTCATGGGAAGGAGTATCAGGGACTTGGAACTAAACAGATTTAGGGTGAATTTGTTAGGTTCCCCTTCTTTCTCACCCAGAGAGGAGGGTTGCTTTCTCTTAAAGTTCTCTCCCCTGCCATGACTGGTAGAGAATCAAAAGCAGAATGTGTTTGAATTTCTCAATCTAGATTTCTTTAGGTAATTTAGC